AGACACTAAAACCTATCATGAAGTCTCAACAGTTAAGGCACTGGCACATGAACAGACACAAATTCATATGGGGATTTAGTGCACAGAAATAAGGCATCCTAAGCCAAGTAGGAAAGAGAAACAGTCAATTGCTGGTGTCGGGACAACTGGATGGCTCTTTAGAAAAAAAGAAAAGTTGGATTCACACCTCATATCAAATGCCAGAAAAAATTCCAAAAGGATCAATGGTTTAAATGTAAAAATAAATCCATAAAATACTAGAAGAAAACACAAGAAATTTTCCTTACAAGTACGGAGTGGATAAGGGCTTTAAACTAGTCAAAATCCAGAATCCATAAGGATAGAGCAATACATTCAGTCAAAAACTTCTGTGTGGGAACACCACTACAGGTAAAATCAAAAGGCAAATGACAAACTGGGGAAACATCCGAGCAACTCCTAACACATATAAAAGCTAAATTCTCCTAATTTATAAACCCTTCTAGAATTAATAAATGTTCAAAAATCTGAGAGAAAAAATGACCAAAGGATAGAGACAGACGTTCACAGAAAGGGAAAAAAGATGCCTGACCTTAGTCATAATAAAGGAAATACAAATCGAAACTACAACCAGTATCTATATTTTACCCATCAGACGGGCCAAAGTCTAAAACTTTGCTCTCCCACCCTGTTGGTGAGGCTACAGCAATGGTGGGAATTATACATCAGTTAAAACCCTGATGGAGGGTGAAACTATGAATTACAAATCCACATACCTTCTGACCAAGCAGCTTATCACACAGATATACTTGGCACACGTGTCAAATGATATATGTAGAAATTTAATTAAAAGTGCAAAAATAGGGGCGCCTGGGTGGTTCAGTTAGTTGAGCATCTGACTTCGGCTCAGGTCATGATCTCGACGTTTGTGGGTTCGAGCCCTGTGTAGGGCTCTGTGCTGACAGCTCAGAACCTGGAACCTGCTTCATATTCTGTGTTTCCCTCTCTCTCTCTGCCACTTCCCCGTTTGCACTCTGTCTCTCTACCTCTCTAAAATAAATAATAAACACAAGAAAATTTAAAGATACGTAGATAAAAGAACAAAAATAGGCATCTTAATTTCTTCAGTAAGGGCTGGCTACATAATTTATGAAAGAAATGCGCACTGAAATTCTATGCAGCTGTTAAAAAAAGGAAAAAGGAAGCTCTATACGAACGGAATGATCTCCATTTTATACTGTTTACAACGCAAGGTGCAAAAAGTGTTTATAGTATGCTACTTTTTGTGTACAAAAGAAAGGATTTGAGATTCTGTATTTTGCTTGTATATGCAAAAAGAAATGCCACAAAGAAATTAGGAACAATGGTTATGGGTGGCAGGGATTGAAAGAAACTGGGCGGATAGGGAGCCAAGAGGAGAAAAATGGTTCATTACAGACATTTTTATTCATTCATTGATTGATTTTTAAGCCATGTGACTGTATATCCTACGCAGAAATAAACTTGATAAATAAGTATAAAACTCTTAGTGTGGTAAGTACTAGGACAGAAAGGTGCGTGGCACTCTGAGAGCCAGAGTGGGGACCCTGAACCATCTCTCTGAAGAGGTGGCATTTGAGCTTGGATCCCAAGGCTCAGGAGTAACTAACTAGGTGAAGAGCCATGTGGCCAGAGGAGAAACTAGCATACAGAGGGGACAAGTGCATGCGCCACTTTGTGACCAAGAAGCTGCAGCCCACACCCCAGCCTGGAGCTAACTTGGCCTCTGGAACCATTAGACTTTCTGTGTCAGAAATCATTTGCTGGTCTTCCTCCTCAGCAATCTGGGAATCCTGGGACATAAGAGGTGGTGAAGGCCATTCCTTCTCTCTCTCTCTCTCTCTCTCTCTCTCTCTCTCTCTCTCTCTGTCACACACACACACACACACACACACACACACACACACACACCACTGCAGCCATCGGCTCCCTGCCTCCAGATCAGGAGAAAAGTAAGTCCCAGCCATCTCCATGTGCTGCTGCAGGATGCAGGCCCTGTCTCAGTGAAGCCTGCCTCAACTTTCTGAAGCAGCTTCTCTTTCCATTTCATGGTTACCTGGCCCAGGACCCTGCTGTGGATGGAAGGGGATGGCAGGTAGGCAGCAAGGGACAGGCAGTCTCTACAGCCAGCAGAACAGAAGTGGAACTGAATCGGGCCCTAAGGCAGCAGCTCAGTCCTAGCCCCCAGCCCCCAGGATCCTTTCTGTCCCTGCTTGCGCTTACTCCCAGAAACCAGTCATCATCCCTGAACCTGCCCCAGGAAGGAACAGAGGCCTTCCTTGACTACAGCAAAAGCCCACAAAGAGTTTTCTAGTCAGAACCCTGTGCCAAAACATGTGGCCATGTGGTCTGAGGGGTCCCTGTTCCCTGTATGTAGGACAGGCTGCCAAGCCCAAGCTCTCCCCTGGACCCTAGGCTGCAAAATCTCAGTTAAAATCCCTGAGATACTATGAGACCTGAGGGAAAAGTCCAAAGCTCATTTGGCTGAGAAAGGTCCTCAACGCCTAGGAGATTTTAGGGAAAACTGAAACTGGAGGAGAGCAGCACAGAATGAATGGCTTGTTTGGAGCAAATTCATAGTATATGAGATGGCTCTTTCCCAGGTGCCTGCACTGAGAGGCCAAACAGGGTGATGAAGGGCTCAGCACTCCCACTGGTGCAGGCCAATGAGCAGAAAGCCATGGTCCACGTGGCTTATCTAGGAATATTTAGCTCATCTCCACAGCCCTCGCCTGCACAATCAGAAGCTGTTCCCTCTCCAGTGATGCTCCAAATAGCTGAAGATATGCCAGCTCAAGCCTTGGGTGTAGAAAGACAGGTGGACAAGCCAAAAGAATGCTGGACAGGGAAGAGAAGGTGTGGGTTCAAGCACGGCTCCTTTACTCCCAGCCCCTGAAACAATCACATCATCCCTGAGTCCTGCCACTGTACTCAGGGTGCTGTGACCAATAAGCTGCCTGTGCTGGGTAGGTGCGGGAATGGGGAGAAGGAAGATGCTCTGCATCCCAACCCTCTGGAGAAAGCTGCATTTGTGTCAGGAGTATCCCTATTGCCAAGGAGACATGAGTTCTTGGCAGGCACGGCAAGTGTAGCCAGGGGCAACCCCCATGTCACCAGCCCATCAAGCAGCCCAACTTGCTCAGACTCAAGACCATATGCAGGATTATTGCAAACCCTTCATGGACTCCAGTAGAGCCACCAAGGAGGCAAGCCAGGCTGGGAAAATCTACTGCTGGGCTATGAAAGCCTCTCTCCCACTTTAAAAAGCCCAGATTTTCAACCACTTGAGTCCCACCCCTGCCACTTTCTGCTGGGGTGGCAGGGGTGGGGCAAAGGTAGAAGAGTCATCTGAGGCACCCCTGCAGTTGGGAACCATGATAGCAAGCTGTGCATCTGAAATTCTCACCAGAACTTTGATGCCTGGGTACTTTTGGCCACTCACCGAAACATCTAGCTCTTGCCAAGCTCTGTGCTCCCCCCAGTGGTCTGTCCCATGGGGTCCACATGCACATTTGGGGGCAGAGACCTGCCCGCCAGCTAAGCTCCCCAACTCCCAGCACAGAGGCTTTCACTAACCTTTCCAGGTTAGTGTCATGGCCTGGGCAAGCAGAGGAGGCCAGGTAGGGGTCAACTGGGAGCAAAGTCTTGGCCAGGATAGTGCCCAGTAAGACCCAGAAGGCCCTTCTGTCCCTCGACTAAAAGGGCAGTGGGTGCTTGGCCAACCCTTCCCATTAGATCAGTGGCTTATCTCTGCCCCATGAGAGGTTGGCTGCACATTTCTGCCACCCCTCGCCCACAGCATCAGCCTGCCTTGCATGGGAAAGCCTGTGCTGCTCGCAAGATGGAAAACTCAGGGGTTAATTACATTAATTAAGTATTCTCCTACTTGCTTGTTTATAGATCACCAACTGAGAAAAAAACTAAACAGACTCTGAGAAAATTAGAACTAAGAGCTGCCTGTCAGTTATATACCAATCAATCAGAAATGACCCATTGCTGGCATTTTCCATGAGGAACTATGATTCACAGAATTCTGATTTGCATACAACTCCCCAGAAATGGAATTTAGATATAAAAAAAGGCACATACCTGCACACCCCTCATCCCTGCTTCCCCTACCACCATCCACACTCTGAATGTTACATGTATGGCCTGGGCAACTGCATCTAGCAGCCTCTACCGCACCCATGCTCCACCCCACCCCATCCTGTACTTCCAGGGTACCGATGGGGAATGGAGAAGTGCAGGGCCTGTGCCCTGGCAGATAATACCAGGTCCCCAGGCTTCAGTTTACCACACACTTGAGCTAAAAATTTCCACATAAAACGCTTTTTGTGGGCCTGCCAGAATCAGATGGGGAAAGAATGAGTCTCAGCAGCGCAGATGGGGCGTCAGCAGCAGCATCCCTGGGGCTTCAGAGTCTCTCTGGCAAGAACCAGGTCCGAGGCAAGGCCAGGAAGGAGCTGCCATCCGAGCCAGAGTGAGGCCTTCCCTTCCAGAGGGCAGGGGCTGCCAGGCCAGGCAGACGGCATACTCCAGAGAGAGGCTTTGGAACCCATAGTGACTCTTTCCCAAGAAAGTTAACTTGCCTTATGCTCCAGCAAGGCCAAATTTGGGGAACCTGAAGCTGAAAGATTTGATCCAGCATCACTGTCCTTGTCATAGCTGCCACATTTAGAGCCTCCCATGTGCAAGGTGCCTCATGCATATTCTCTCAGTTAATTCTCGCAACCACAAAAGGTTTCTAGATAAGGAAACTAAGGCTCAAAAACTTGCCCAAAGTTACCCAGTTAGCAAGTGGGAGGGGAAGGATGTACATCAGAGGGACTCAGACTCTGGGCTCCTTCCTCCAACTGGCCCGGCAAGTGCCAAAGCCTGGAGCTGGATCCCCAGAGTGGATTCTCTAGAGCTCCATCCCTACCTAGCCCACCCCCAGCACTGCTCAAGGACTGGCTCTCAAGGCCAGGCAGTCTCTTTCTTACATGACCGAAGGGGTCCAGGTGGTTGTTTGTGAGTTTCAGCTTCTGGAAAGAGACTAGCTGCCGCATCCAGTGGGCCCCGGTGGCAGGAGAATCAGGGTGGACATAGAGCCTTCCTGGCATGGCGGGCTCAGCCTTCCCGGCCACCATCCTGCCAACAGAACAGATGATTACAGCAGTTGATTACTCTGGGGTCTGGAAAAGCCCAGATTCCCTGTCCCCTGTTAGAGCAAATCCCCATAGACTTGAGGGGGAAAGAAATCACTGCTAGTCTTATACTCTCAATTTCGGACTTTGTGAGTAGGAGTGTGGGTCAAAGGAGAGAGTGCTGAGGAGGAGGAGCAATTATGAACCTCTTTTATTTTACTGCAGTAGAAAGAGAAAGGGAGGGTACAGACAAATGTGATTATTTACTTCAAAGAATGGGGCTAATCACAAATATATTGTGGGGCGATTTAGGCACCTCTGTGTATGTATTACAGTTACAACTTTAAAATGTTATAAATTATATTATTTGGAGGGAGCTTCTCAGAAGACCTAGACAACTTTCAAACTGCTTGTCCCCAAAAGAGTGCTCACCCCCAAGGAAATTAATTGGTAAACCTCCCCTCAGCCAGAGCTTGCTCTGAATGATAATCCAACCCAAAGAGAGAAGAAATAGAAACATGGCCCTTGGCAAGACCTGGTCACCGAATCCAGCCTCCTCAGCCAGGTCTCTGCTGGCCCCACTACCAGCCTATGGTGAAGCCCACATCCTGGCTAGCTACTAATTCAGTCAATCCCTCTTTCTCCTTGAGCGCTGTCCTGGGCTCTGGGGGCAGACAGGGTACTAAGAAGGTGACCTTAGGAAAAGTAGCCTAGTGTTTACTTACCCAGCCCCTGTTTTGCCTTACAGCCCACTTGTTCCCCCCAGCCTCTTGCCAGAGGGTCCCATCATCCAACCATCAGGCAGCTGCCACTCACCCTGGATCAACAGCTTAAAGGGAGGGCTCATAGCCAGACAATGAGGAACTAAGTGGAAGAGCAGCAGAGAGATGTCACTGGATGTCTAACCATCCAATATCAAAGTCCCTCAAGCAAACAGCTCCCATCCTCCTCCCCAGTGCAGCACTACCAGAGCCTAAATTCATCCAGTGTTCGTGTTCATCTGTCATCCCACAGTGTAGTCACCAATCTTGTTTGCCCATGGCTGTAGGGAGAGAACAGCCTCGAAATCCACTAAACACTCAAACCCTGCAGCTCACTTTCAGCTGTAGCGGGTGTGCAGACATTGGCCGACCCTGCAGCCTCTGCAGGCTCAGCTCCCAAGACTTCAGATCTGGGCAATCATATGAACTAACTGGTGAGTCCCTGGACCAAACATCAGGTGCAGATGGGTGTGGTAAGTGGACAGAGCAGTTCAGAGAAGGCAGGTGATGTGAGGGTCCCAGGTTCTTACCATTTGTTGTCACAGAACTTGTAGCGGTGGTCATCCGCAGGGACGATGTCAATCAGCAGGATGTACTTGGTCTTAGGGTTCATGCCTGTGACTTTTACCTTGTAGCTGGGAAACATCCTCCTAGGGGAAGCCAAGGTGTGAGGCAGAGGCATAGACAGAGCATCAAGAGAGATGCCACCCAGGGGGGAGGGAACAGAAGGCCTTAAGAGACACCGGCCCTGATCAGAACTGTGTGACCTTGCCTCAGCCTCCCCCTACACAAGGGAAAGTTTGCACTAGCCGTTCTCTCTGGGTCCAGATAGCTTCATCTGGTCTGCATGTCTAGAAAGAGGGTTTACATGGCTTCCCCAATGCAATTCCCTCTCCCCAACAATTCCCTAACATTTAGGGCAACTGGTTGTAAGCAGCTAAAGCATAGAAAGTTCCAGGATCATGAGAGAGGATGTCAACACCAACCTGGCTGCTTAATTTCCCTCCTGCCCTTTGCCAGTCCCTACACAGCTAAAGTTCTGGGCTGCCATTACAGGGGGTCAGAGCAAAAGACTTCAAAGCCCTGTCGGTTGCTTCTGTAATCAATGGGGTATCTCCTCTGGGCCTTGTCTCTGTGGAAACCCTCAGGCCTGGAACCAACTCACAGAAAAACAAGAAAGTGTTGCTAGGTCTTTGGATTCTTTTGGTGTGTTTAGCAGAGGTGTTTAGCCATATGAAGACCTTGCCTGGGCTTGTGTATACTAACTGGGTACCAGGTGAAGTCAGTTCAGGAGCCTCATGGAGAAAAGCATGGATTCTAGAACCACTCTGCCATGGTCCACCAGCCTGGCCCACCCCTGACAAGTTTTGAGGCATTAGGCAACTTGCTTGGATCTCATTCTCTGTGCCTTGGTTTCCTTATCTCTAAAATGGGGATATTACTACCTATCTCATAGGTTGGTCTGTGGATTAACTGAGTCCATTTGTGACTATTACTACTGACTCCCACTGCATTCCTCCCTCCTCAAACCAGTGGATGACTTACCTCTGTGAAAAAGGACTCACCAAAAAAACAGGAAGTTTTCCAGTTTCTACAGCTCATGCTAAGACTATCCAGGACCCTGAGGCTCAGTGAATATTCTAGAGGCAGGCTTCCCCAGACCCCTCAACACACACACAGGTACAATAGCATATACACATACCTGCAGGGGCAGAGTTCTGCCCCTTAGTCATCGAGTCCCTGACACTGGACTTCTCCAGAGAGAGCAGACAGAACTTTACCACAATCCTCCTCAGACACCCCCACCCCCTCCTAGCTGATCTCCCACAAAGATGTTTCCCCAAGAGAGAGGCAGGATCCAAACCTAACTGAAGACAGTAAGGACATCAGGAACCAAATCCCCTGAGTTGGGAAAGTGCTCAACCAGTCCACTGAAGGAAAGCCTCACTAAGAGACCATAAGGGGAACCTCAAGAGAAGCTGTCTTAGACACCTCAGACCCCCGTTTTGTCAACATGGGTACCAGTTTACCAGGGTTTCCAGAAGGGATCAAGGCCTTTACAAGCAGGCAGACCCTACAGCAAGCCCAGGCCAGGACCCTGAGGTGGAAGGTTCATTTCTACCCCTGACCCAGCCCCAGCCTGTTCACCCTCTCTCTTGCAGGAGGCAAGGCCCAGGAGAGCACTGCAATGGGCCAGGGATGTGGGAGGTATGTGGCCATGTGTACGCTCAAGGGCACGTACTTGAGTACACGGTGGAGTGCGCATGTGTGCATGTGTGCGTGCCTGGAGGGAGGAGGGAAGTTCTAGCTGCAAGTCTAGGGACTTATAAACCGTGTGGAAGAATTTGTCTCAGATGTCAATTGAAAGCATTTTCAAATGTCCACCCCACCCCCTCTCCAGGAATGGGGGAAGTGAGAGGGCTCAGGAACCCAATCCTGCCTGCTGCTTACCAGCCCCTGCCCAGCCTGGGGGCACAGCTGGAGCCTGTACCACCTTCTTTCCTGGCCCAGCCTCTCCCCTGATAGGCCTAAAGCTGAAGCAGGGAAGGCATCAGCTGCCTCACTTCCCCTGCTCCCCGGGGAAAGGCCAAGAATCCTGTCCCCCTCCAGGTCACCATTTTGTAACTGCTACAGGAACTGCCACAAAATGGGGCAGCCCTGGTTGCCCTTGGGGCTGACCTGGCACCAGTGCCCTGCGCTTAGTCTGTTTCTCCTGTAATCACTCCAGGTGGCAACAGCAGAAGGCAGACATGGCTTCCCCCCAGGCCAGTATCCACAAAGGGGTCCAGGAAAAAATGTCCCGCTGCCACTTTGACAGTCTTCATAACCTAGGCTGAGAGGGGGATGAAGACCCTGGCCTTCCCCTTCTCCTACTCCTTACTACACTTCATCTCAGCAGCTCAGGAAGCCAGGCTAAGATCCACTAAATGCTTTTTAGAAGGCCTGTAAGTAGCCTGTGCTCAGCTCCCCAAGGCACGGAGCTGGTGTCCTAGGATTTGGTTTCACCCAGAAGCTGACTAAAGACTGGATTCCTGACCGAAAACACCTTCAGGGAGGTTTTGCCAAGAGTTGGGGCAGGGAAGGAAGGTATCTCCTAGCTTCTGCCTCCCCTGCCTACCAATCCCCCCCTTCCTAGGGGAGCTGCCCTTAGAAGCAGGGGCGGGGGATGGGATATCTGGTCTGAAAGGGGACGCTGCTCCAGGCTGAACTACTCAGGCTCAGTGAACTCCACTGCTTTCATGAGAACCTGTATCGGCTTTTCTGTCAGGGTCCAGTTTGGTGACTGCTTCTGAGAACACAGGCCCTGGGGACCCTAGGCACTATCACTGCCCCACCTAGGGGGCTCCAGTGGGATGAAGGGCACACCCTGTGGGGAAAAGGCTGAGTGCCAAGGGGAAGTGTATGTTCCACCCACCCCAGAAGCCTCCTGCCACAGCTGAAGGCATCTGCCCTTGCCCTAAAGTTGAAGCCCCAGGAGCAGCATGGGACCATTCATCAGGTGGGCATGACTCCTGCCACAGAGGCCAGGCTGGGTCTGGGAGCTGTGCCATCCTCTCTGGTGACTCTACACTATAAAGACCCTCTCTACTGAAACAGATGAAAAGGATGGGGTGAGATCAAGTTGTTTCTTTGGCTTAGGACGTAAAATGTACCTGAAAACCAACATCAATGGGGGAAATGAACACCTGGGGGAGCGGGCAGGAAAGGAGGGAAGGACTCTGAGCCGCCAGTGTCCCACTCTGCCCCGCCGCCAGCGCTGGCCTGGCCGGAATCCCTGGCTCGCCCGCCCCGGACACCGCGCGGCCCCCAAGCCCCGCGCGGTCGAGCCTTCGCCCCACCCTCTCCCTGCGCCCCGCGAGCCTCCGGTCCGCGCGCCTGACGCCCCCTCGGGGCTCCTGGACCCCCAGACAGAGGGGCGCTCCTGGCACACGCGGAAACGGCTCCGCCGGGGAATAAACAAGCCGCCCGCCCCGCCGGCCCGGGAGGAGATGAAAGCCGGGGGTTTCTCCTCTGATCACGAAACAGGCTCTGAAAGGATGCGGGCTGGAGCCTTTATCTACTTCATACTCGGAAATGGTTTTAGAATGAACTGCTAAGATAAGCTTCCTTGGACGTTTCTTCGTGTGGGAGGCCTGCGGGGCACGGGGCAAGGATTCGGGACCTTGTGATTTTGGCAACAACCCCTCAAATGCTCGCTGGTTGCTGAGTGGAGACTCGCAAGTTCAGCTGGTCTCAGAGAGCGGCGGGGGCTCCCGGCTCTCCGGCCAAAGCGATCGCCAAATTCCTGGCCCGACCTACTAGTCTCCCACCAATCCCGAATGGGGGTGCAGGGAGTCAGCAGGACGTAGGAAACCAGCCAGATTCTCTCCACTTGGCCGGACCCCCAAGTCCCCAACCCGGTTGCAGCCTGACTTTCTGTGAGGGCCTGGAAACCCCAGGAGCAGCTAGATGTGCCTTCCCTTAAACTAGACACAAAACCAAATAGAAGGGGTGAGAAGTCTGGAGAGGGGCTTCGAGGGGGGACAGGACTGGTGGGGAATGGGAGGGCACACAAGAGGATTCTGCTGTGTTTCTTTATCTGGGTGGTGATTTGTACTAGTGTATTCATTTTGTGGAAGTGTATAGAGCTGTACAATTAAGATTTGCTCACTTATGCAGGCAAGTTCCACTTCAACAAAATTGACATTGAAAATTATACATGTATATATCATATGTGGGTGTCTATACACACATGTATATACATACACCAGCCGTGGATCCCAGAGTCGGAAAGAAACCGGCTGCAGGCAAAGGACAGGGGTCCCCAGAAAACCCCACCATTCTTTCTATCCCTAGTGTCTGGGACTCTTGAGAGGGATTTCTGGGTATGTTGGGAAGAGGCTAAGGCCCGTCCACCAAGGCTGGGTTTGCTGGAGGGGTGGGAGCTGCATTGCTGGTGCTGCCTGTACGGAGACTAAACCTTCTAGAGCCAAATGATTTCTGAGAGCAATGGCAAAGCTTTGTAATTTAGTCCCAATTTTCTCTCTCTCTCTAACACGCACACAATTTTCTAATTCACTCAAAGCATTTTTAAGAAATATTTTCCCTGAGGTCGGGGGAGGGGGGGTTGCAAGAGTGAGGGTATATGGAATGGATGCTGTTTTGGAAGATCAGTTGCTTCTCAGATTTTTTTAAAGACACTTCCTTCTGATAGACTTTTGCTTTCAGAAAATACTTTAGAAAGAGATCAAAGGACTCTCTCCCCAACCCACTTTCCCAGTGTCTTCAACCCTTACTTGTCTTATCACCCACGCCACTGGGCTCTGACGCTCTGTATACAGAGCAAGGGCAATTGGCTTTGAAGCCCCGGATTAAGCCGGGCCAAATCCTTGCCTCAGAATAACAAACAATACAGGTTCAACAGGAGTTCTCATCGGTAGCTCATTTTTCAAACGCAAATTCACTGTCACTAACACAAGCAACATTGAACTCAACAGGCTATGAAGGCTGATAGTGGAGATTTATCTGGTGGCAAAACCATGACCTAGGAGTAGAGCAGTCAAATGGTTAGGAAATTTTCATTTTTGGGAGGTTTATATTTAAATTTTTGTGGAGCTCACTTTTATCTATGTTTGGGAGAAAATGCAGTTTCTCACATCTTTCAAGCTTGGCAGGGATGTGAAGGAGGTAGACAGAGGAGGGGTCTGGTCTCTGCAGTAAACAGCCTTCTGGGTGCAGAGGCCCCTGAAAGGGACAGAAACTGGCTGGGAGGATTCTGGCCTCGTTTTACACCTGACATCAGGGGTTACTGAGCATTCAGAAATTGATGTCTCCCAATGTGATTGGCATTTTAATCCCCAGATCAAATGGTTTGAGAATCCGAAGTCACTATCCAATGAAGGGGACTATCCTCTACTTTGGCCTTCAGACCTTCATACCTTCAAGAGCTTATAGGCAAGAGGCTTGTGACTCAAAGACTCAAACTAGCTTGAGAAACATTGTTCCCCTTGTTTGGGACCTGCCTCTCCCTCAGCCAGATAGCAAGTATCATGCCTCTAACCAACCAGGGGGGTCTCTAGGGCAGAGCAACAACCCCATATTGGAGGGCCCTGTATCTAAGGGGAATTTCTCAAAGTTGGGTTTTTTTTCTGGGGGTAGAGTATCATCTGCTTGGCTTGTGTGGACCTGGCAGCTGCTTAATTTTGCTTCTATCTATAAGAGCCAAGTGCCTTCCCTTCTCTGGGGTCAGCCTTATGTTCCCTCAGTTTACCAGCAGTCTAGGAATCTGCGATTCCAGGTTCAGGACAAGGGTTCAGGCCGTCTGCTGAGAAATGCAGGTGTTCCAGGAAGGGTGCCGGTAGAGACACAAAGAAGAGAACTGGGACTCCACAGGATGTTGAAGAACCACAAACCCAAGCAAAGCAAGCTGCCTCCTGTGGAAGGGAGGCGGTGAAGGGGGAGGGGGCCACTGGGATCAGAACTGAGAATGTGGTCTCCAAAGTTAGTGAGCAGCAACGCAGGAGGAAAGAGGGTCTGTGAGAACCATGGGGAGGGGCGACGAGGCTAGTGACTTTCTTAAGGACTAGACCTGGTGCAAGAATAACTTTCTGCCAGAGAAATGAAAGGCCAAGACCGTGATGAAACCATAAGTGGTCAACCTCATCACAGCCATTTAAAAATTATTGTCATCATTCCCTGAGGCGCATCTCTAAGTCTCCACTAGGATCAGGCACAGACATCCGCCTGAAGCTGGTCACCTCTGGAGGGGTGTGTGTGTGTGTGTGTGTGTGTGTGTGTGTGTGTGTGTGTTGGGGGAGGGAGGGAGGGAGGAGGACCCATACTGATGCAGGAAACCCCACTGAGGAGAATCACAAATGTCTTTTGTTTAAAACGGCAGAGGCCAGGCAAACCCGAAGAACATGCAGACCATTTATTTTTGAAAGACAAGAATATTTCTGCTGCCTAAAAAGGGAAATTCTGGATCTTTCTCTTTCTTCTTTCCATCCCTCCACCCCAGCAGTTCCAATAAATAAATTCCCTCTCTTCATACCTATAATCCAGTCAACAATTTATCATACACAGCTCACGTGACCCCCATTTGAGTCTCACAGTAACTAAGAAAAGAAGAATGGCAGGTAAGTCTACAGTCACCAGCTCTGTTTACCCCAGCACCATTGAGCCACGGGAAGTGTAGAAACCTGCCCAAGGGCACTCAGCTAGGAAGAGGCAAGGCTTGAGGGCCACTGTCTTCAGGACTATTCCAAGTGGCACCCTCTACCAGGTTTCCCTAATGCATCCTCCTTCCCCAGCCCCCAAATGCAGCAAATTCAGGCCCTGACATCCCCATGCTCCTTCCCCTGATCGAGGCTCCAGGTGGCCTTGCCACCTACCAGGGAGCCTGACCAAGTGCCCAGAACTTACCCCCAGCAAAACAAAGGAAACCTCGCAAGGTCTGCCAGTGAGCAGACAAGAAGGACCACAGCACCCCTTCACTACACACTGCAAAAGCTACCAGCTTTTTGCTTCTTTTCAACAGCTCACCGTTCTCTAAGCAGTTCAGCAGAGTTCTCTAAGTGTCAGACATTTCTCTAATTACAATTAATTTTGGCTCATATGTATGGCATGCTCATATGTGCCAGGAGCTAGGCTAAGTGCTTTACATACAACTGTATGTATTATTTTGCAGAGGGGGATGTGGAGAGGGCAGATACCCTGAAGCACCTTGCCTGAGGGTTGCACAGATGGAAGCAGCTGAGTGGAACTGGAAGCCACTGTGGTCTGACCCCCCATCCTGGCTCTTGAGGCTTCGCCACCTTATTTCTTCGAAAACCCAATTACGGGCCCACAGACATTTTTACACCTACCCTGTCCCCCAGGGACTAGAATCAAATGTGAGTAAGTGGGCAGAGGGCAGTTCCTACACCTGAACTTTCCAGCTTCTCTGTCTGCAGCAATCCCCCTACACTGATAACCGCTGGCCTTGCCATTCGAGCCCCACCTGAGACTCCTGGCCCCGCTGGCCCCAACGAATCTCTCATCTTGCCTGGTCTGCATCTCCCTCCTTTCCCCTTCTCCTCGAGACTCTCTCCCACAGACACCAGCACATTTTAAAGATGTTTCCACTTTATAAATCATCATCTCTGGCAACCACCCGAGAGTTGCTCCCCAAACAACACACACGCAGGGCCCAACGGTGCCTTCCCCTTGGCTGAGGTGGGGGGGCTGGCAATAGACGAGCAGCACCCCGAGGGATGAGAGGTTTCCTGGTTGCCACTGCCAGGAAAAGTTATGGAAGTAGGAAAACATGGTCCAGTCCCCTTCCTCCATCTGTTGAGGGTCATCTCCGGGTCCCCAATCAATGCGATCCTGAGAAACCAGGCAGGTCCCCAAAAGGAAGAGGACAAAGCAGCCCCCCTGGGGGCCAATAGTGCAGGGACTGGGACCTCCGGAGTCGCGATCCTTATTTGCATTTTATTTGCATAGCGCTACCCCTCCCATCCTTCCAAGTCTGGAGGCTCCCTGGAGGAGATGGATCCTCCGGTGAAGTTCTGCGGCCCAGTCAAAAGCCGTGGTAGGGCAAGGGGCTAAGACCGGAGTGGCGAAAGGAACTCCTGGCGCTCCTTTGGCAAGAGCCCGAGAGGACTGTCAAGGGAGCTCCTGGGGGATTCCCATCGCTCCCACCAGTCATCCCCATCCCCCAAATAAATGTCCCAGCGCTGACCTGCCCGCCTTGGTGATGATCATTTCGGTGCCCGCTTCGTGGAACTTCTTCCAGAGCTCCTTCTCATGCAGGCCCACCTTGATGTTCTCGATGGTCTAGGGATGAGACGGAAGGGGTCGGCCTGAGCCACGGCTCCATGCGGAGCCCACAGAACGGAGAACACAGGCCCAAGGAACTGTGCAGAGTCCTGCCAGCCCCCAAAGCCCATGCCTCAAGATTTCGTTTCATAAAATTATCCTGTACCACTGGTGAATTTTTCAAAATTTAATCAGTAGCTGAAACCCACTCCTTCAGAGCTGCACCTATAGATGGTCCGCAAAGGACACATGCTGACCGTGCCAGGGTAGATGACACACTACACAAACATAAACACTCCACGTGGCGGGACACAGCCACAGGCTTGCGGACACACACAGACACAGGAGGGACAAACGCCCCTGCGGCCAGACTCGCGCACCCTCAGACTCTACGCAGACCCACGCAGGCCGAGGGTGCGCACAGACGGATTCCTTTCATTTTGATCATCAGATTGTCAGTGTGACCCTCTCAGCGACGTCCCCGCGGCGGCTCCCGCTCGCACACGACCGGGATCTGTTCTTCCCTCCCGATGCCAGGCTTTCTTTCGCCCACGCCCTCTCAGCGTCGTCGGAGCCGGACACTTGGCCCGGGCTCGCCCCGCTGCCACAAGGCTCCCCTCCCCAGCCTGTCTCCTAGTAGCCCCAAGGGAGCGAAGCAGAAGAGGGACGAAAGGCAAAGAGCGGGAGCCCTGCCCAGCGGAGCAGAACGCGCAGTCCAGGACGCAGCCAGGTCCCCCGGGAAGCGAGTCTTGTCCTCAGTGGGGCGGATTGGCAGACGCAGGCTGCCCTGCAGACAGACCGACGCCCGACCTCTGCCCGACGGCCAGCGCGGCCCTACCTGCTCGGCGGCGGCAGCGGCGGCGGCGGCGTCGGCGCCTGGGCCCGGGGGGCTGCCGAGCGCGGCTCCGCTGAGTCCCGGCGCGGCCAGCGCGGGCTCGGGGTTGTTGGCGGCGTTGGAAGCGCTGGCCTCGCCGAGCGCCGAGCCCGGGGCCCGGAAGGCCTCCTCGCTCTCCGACAGGCCCTTATCCTGCAGCATCTCCTGCGGGCACAGCACACACCGAGTCACATGCCCAGGTCCACACTCGCCAGAGGCCCAGCAGCTCGCTCCAGCCCAGCCAGGGGACTTCGGGGCCGGGCGGGAAGGTCGCCCTGGCGCACGTGGACACCGCCCCCTTCTGAGCTGGGGGAGGGAGAAAATGCGGAGGGCAGGACCGTCGCCTCCACCGTCTGGGGTCTGGACTTGGGAGGGTCTGTGTGCGGTTCAAGGTCTGCCTGCCTCTGGGTGTGGGGCTGTGTGATGAGCAGGTCTGGGGGAAGGACCGCCCTCTCGGCATTGCCCCAGCTGCACCCCCAGTCCCTCCCTCCTGCTGGGCGCCAGGGGAGCCTGAGGCCTGGGTCTCTCTTCGAAGTTTCCTAATAATTGGGGTCCAGGCTCACTCTTGGCCCAGGGCAGCCAGGACAGTGAAACCAGGAGGCAGGGCCCAGGCTCCTGGGGCTCCACACCTGCAGAGCAGGGCCTCAGGCTCCTGCTCACCCATCTGCCCTCACCCACTCCCTTAGACAGCAGTCAGGTAGAGCCTCCCTGAGCCAAAGGCTTTCACTCCTGCACATTCCCACTCCCACAGACACCCTGTGTGTCATTCACACAGGTACACACTTCACACCCAGACACAAGCACCCACACAGAGTCTTCTAGTCACTCAAGCAGCCACACTGTCCCAGGGCAGCTCTGATTTAGGCCCTGAATTCAGCCAGCCCCCCCCCCCCCCAGCCTTGCCCATATATTCACATTCGCTGGCTCCCTCAGTCCAAGGGGCTCTGCTTTGGGGCAAAGGATCCAGACCCTTCCCAGCTAAGGACCAGGCCAGTTGGGTGGGTCCAGTTCACAGACACAACCTAGTCCTGCCCACCCCACCCCTCCCCCCTCCCCAGCACAGCTATCCTTCCCCAAGAGTCTAGAACTATCCACCAGGCTGTCCAAGGCTGCAGAACCTGCTTTTCCTGCCTCCATCATGGATGCAACCCTGCATTATATCTGCTTCTTTCCATCTCCCTGCTCTTCTCCCTTCTTTTGGGTCTGGTGCGGCTTTCTATGTGCCTGGCTGCCTCTCTTGTGGAAGAGTGTTCCCCCTTCCTCCTGTCTTTTCTGTTCTCTCCTGGATCTCCCTGAGCATCCCAAGGCCCAGGCCTCTGGCCATCCTGCCTACTGGTTTCCCCATCCCAGGTCCTAGACATCGGCTCCCAGGGCCTCACAAAGTAAACAAGCCAAGTGCAACAGAGGGAGATAAAAAAGGGGCCTGGGCCAGTAGGGCTGGGAAAAGCCCATAAAGATAAAGCTGACAGCCCTCCCAGTCCTTGGTCCACAGGCAGCAGGAAACAAGTCTTGCCCGGCATGGCCAGCCCCAGTACCGGCCTTGGGCCACGTGCTGGTTCCAGCGGAGCCTAGGAAACTCAGAGCCCCCAGGCAAGGGGACATTGCACGACCAGGGTAGTTGCACGCCCTGGCCCAAAACGCTGGTCCGGACTGTATCTGGGGTCAGAGGGATGGGCGCGGGCCATCGGCTGGTCACAAGCGCGGCAGACCACGGGGGCAGGAAGACGCGCCGCCTGGCGCGATGCTGTTTTGGCCACCGGGTCCTCTACGGAGCACTTGTCGCACCCGGAGCCGTGCAGGGCCGCCTTCTGGCTCATGCCCGGCACTCTCTGTCCTGGGCACTAAGCACGTCCGCGGCCGGCATCCACTGACGCGGGTCCCACCGCTCCCACCTGGACGAGGGCAGCGTGGTGCTCTCCTTCCACTCCGCGGGCTTCACCTCTTCCTTTTCTCTCAGCCGCGGAGACACATCTCGACATCGCGACAGCTGGCCCTCGCCCTCGATGGGGCTCCCCCCTAATTTCCTTTCCTTCCCTCTGGACTGGCCCAGACTGGCCGTCCCCTTCGTTCCCCTCGGACCCCGAGCCTCGGCGCACTGTACAGCCGCGTTTCACATCAGCCCGAGCCCGAGGGCCGCAGCCCATCGCGCTCGCCCCTCTCGCGGACCCCTTCGCGGACGCGCGGGCCGGCTCGGCGCGCTTTCGCTCCGTCCGTCGCTTTCAACCAACTCGCTTTCTAAGGAGAACAGCATTTTTCTCTTTAAGTTACTGGTGATATTTTTCTTGCACTGGGGAAATTAACATTTTGTATTATTTTAAATATTTTAATTATCTCTATTATGAGAGCAGTATTCGGGTCAGCTCGATAGCATTAAAAATATCACATAAATTATTAGAATCTTTTATTTTTAACACTGTATATTTAAAGTACTGGTTTGATTTGTTAATTCATCATTATTAAATATGTTGTTGCTCTCTGGTCTCTGCTCCATCATTCTAGGGCTTCCTGGTACATTAGTGACACAGTTACTAATATCTAGGTAATTACTAAATATAGTATTCCAGCAGGTCATGTTAATCTTTTGTTATTTTAATTTTTATTCCGTACCCCTAAAATGCTTCTGTTGCTGGCTCCTCAGTCTCTGTACTTTGTCAGTTTCAATAACTCATTATTTACCATAACTTGTAATATCGTTGTTCTCAATATAGATGTTAGTTTTCTTCACATCTTTATAATACTTCTTGTTATTTTATCATTATTTGTTTTGTTAGAATTGTTCACAATACTCCAGGTATTCTTCATCACATCGTTACAATATCTTGTTACTTTGTCATTATTTGTAACGTTACAATCTTAATTCGCTGGTTATTTTTCATCACATCATTACTCCTTGTTACTTTGTCATAATTTGTGATATTGCTGTAGTTCTTAATACTCTGATTATTTTTCATCACATTGGTACGATACTTCTTGTTACTCTACCATTATTTATAATGTTGCTGGGACTATTAATATGTTGGTCATAAATTGTCATATTATTTCAGCAATTCTTGTTGCTGTCTTTGTTTATATTAGCATTGCTCTAAAGATTTTGGTTAATATTTATTATAATAATTCATAATAGTATCAATAATAAATTATATATAATACTCCATCAATACTACTAATATTAGTATTTCCCTTAATAGTGTTTTTAATTGTTTACCCTTTTCCTACAGTTTTATCATTTGTTACTATTTCCTATAGTATCACTATTGATTTTATTTTATTTTATTTTTACTATTGATTTTAATACAATGGTTCTTATCACATTGTTCCTATACTTGGAGTTACTTTGTCTATGATCCTTTTAAGTTTGTGATTACAATTTTCGCTTGGTTCTGAAAGTGACTATTATTTTACTGTTGTTTTAAAGTGTGAGTGCTGTATTAGTTTTCCACTTAGCCCTGTTTCTTTGGTAATTGCTCACATTCTGATACTTCCTGATCATTGATAATTATTAATACATAATAATGCTCCTTGCTTTAATTTTGACGAGCCCGTTGCATCAAAGGCTCTGAAGTCCAGGGTTCCGATCACACATTTCTTCATCGATATCGCCTCAAGCACCCGGGCCCTCTTCCTTGGCCTTTCTTATTCTGCAAACACCAGTTTCAAGACAACGTTCCTCTAGTCGCAACTTAACCATGTTCTTTTGGCTCTGGCGCTGTTGTTTCTTTGCCCTTGGGTCCCTAGACCCAATTCATCCTGTTACTCGGTGGAGATGAGGGCTCGCGCCCCAAACCGCTGGAAGTAGGGCCGAGGCGGCAGCCTGATCTGAAGCACATCGCGGCACCATCCTGCAGCCTTGCCTTTCCCTGAGGTTCTTACCCCCGTGCCGTTACTCGCCTCTTTCCCAGTTCACTCTCCTCAACCCTGCAGCCTAACGCTGGGCTCGGGGTGGCCCCTGTCCCGCACGCCCGGCTCACCCCCATCCCCGCCGGAACCCACACTCACCCTAACTGCGCTGCAGCATGCGGAGGCGCCTGCCGCCCGAGGTTCACTGCAGGCTCGGGTCCGAGTGGCACAGGACGGCCTGGGCACCGACTCGGGGCCGCTGGGTCAGTGTCCCGTTGCCCGCCGCGCCCTCGGGGCCCGACACATCCTGACTCTGGAGCGGGCCCTTGATCTCCGAGGCTGCACTTTGGGGCCTCAGCTCCCTCCTCCTTCCTCCCTCCCTCCGGGGCCGCCACCCCCCTGCGCTGACGTCGCCGCTGTCAATCAGTCTGCGCCCGCCGCCCCCCGGGGAGGGGGGCTCTAGGGTCCCTTGGCTCCGCGGCCCCAGGACCCCGAGCCCCGAGCTGGCCGCGCGCTCCCCCACCGCGTGGCTCGGTGCCCTCCCTGCGGCCCTCGGCCCGGCAGGCCTGGCTGGGACAGGGATCCCCGCATGGTTTAGATTAGAGGGGCGGGAAGAGGCAGAGCGGCCTGGCGGTGCCGCACGGCTCGCACGGAGACTCGACAACCAGGACCGAACGCCCGGAGCCGCAGCGCGGCCCGCACACTGGGGCGCGGCCCGGCCCGGCCTGGTCGGGCCGGGGGCCCACTTGCAGACAGCCGCCCTCCGCCGAGCCCCAGGCCGCGGGCTCCGCGCCCGCACACCCCGCGGTCCGAGACCCGCTCCCAACGGTGCACGCAGCGGCTCGGTAAGCCCACGTCCCGGGAGGCAGGCGCACAGCGCCCCACAGCCCCGCACTCGTCCACAGACCATGCCCCTCACACATTCTCACACCTACGCGCTCCGGCCCGCGCGCTCCTGCTCCCGGGCTCTGGGCGCGGGCGCGACGGCCAGGGCGCGGCCCTTCTGCTCACCGGCCCCTGCTTGTCCCGTCCAGGCGGACAGCGGCCGCCGGACCCGGCCTGGCGCGCCTCGGAGTCGGCCCGCGGAGGTCACGGGTGAGGGCAGGCCCTTCGCTCAGGCGGGGAGGAGGCCGGGCCGCCAGGCCTGAGCGGCGGCAGCGGGGAAGTGCCGGGCCGGCTTCTGAATCCGAGCCGAGGCCCAGGCTTCAAGGTGCCAGGGCTTGGCAGAGTCTCTGGGCGAAACTGCAGCGGTGAGGGCCAAGACTCCGCCAGCAGCCTCAAGATCCCAGAAAGCTGACGAGGAAGCCCAATCCCTGACCCAGTCTAGGAAGCTGAGACCACTGCACTGGGAGCTACCCGGCCTCTGTGCCTCAGAAAGTCAGAAAGTGAGGCCCCCTCACTGCCTAGACCTCCCTGACCAACCTCTGACTCTCCACTCCCTCTGTCTCCACTTACCTCTATTTCTTTATGTCTGTCTGTACCTCTCCACAGGACCCTTGAGCTCCACAGGCAGACAGAGCCGTGTGGACCCCAGTCCATGCCCAAGACTCACAGCCTGTTACATGCCCAGAATACTGAGGCAAGGCTAGGTCTGCCCACCTATCCCAAAGGGCCCGGAGTCCCCTGTCAATAGAATACCCAAATTAGCTCCTTGCTCCTCAGCATGGGCTGCATCGTTTCCTCCACTGGTGCCCCCAATAGTTCCAATCAGCTTCTGTTCCTATCCAGATTTTTACCTCAAAATCAGATGGAAGGAAATAGGACAGGGAAATTCCTTCCTTGGATGGATCTGTCCCTTTTCTAATGCTAGGAAATGGAAAGCCAACATCAATGCCTCTCCCACTACCCTGCACTCAAAGGAGGAGGCAAAATACCAACTCAGAAAAGCCAGCTGCTGCTGTCAGGAGCCTGGGAACCCATCTCCACAATGGGCTCACTGCTCAAGAATCCCTATCACCCTTAGCAATACCAGATTCCACTACCCCATCTTCCCTGCACAATTTGATGGAATCCTGAACCAGGAAGGGGAAGTAAGGTCTAAGGGATGGAGAAGCTTAATCTTCCTCCAATCCTGCCTTCTTCTGGAGTGGAGAAAGGAAAGGCCCTGGTGTTTCAGAGATGCCTGGGGAGTCATGTTTCCTGTGTTAGGGAGGACTGGATGACATGTCTCAGCTTCTGCTCCCAAGCCCCCTCCCATGCCCTCTCCAACAACCTGTAGGGAAATCCCTTGCAAATAAATAGTGTACAGACTAACGAACCAACTACTGTATGGAATGGTGAACAGGGAGGGCAGTGAATCACCAGATACCATGGGAAGACTACATTTAGGCCAGACTCTGGAAAGAATTTGTTGACAATCATTGGAGGAAGTTCGTAATGAGACCATCTAGTGTTGCTCTTTAAAGAAACTAGAATGGAGACTTTCTGTAAGTGCAAGTCTTTCTGGAGATTCACAGGAGATACTCCAAATCAGTATCAACTAGTTCATGATGACATGGAAAAATGAGATATGCAAGGGACAGGCAAGGTTTTGGCAATGAAAAGGAAGGGGCAAACCAGCCAGCAAGTAAGAGAGAAAGGGAGGTTTTGTATACACATTCCCTGTTAGTAGAATGGAATTCTTTCTTTCACTGATTAACACATACATTTCTTTTTAATGTTTTGACATCTTTGAAATTTTGACATCTTAGAATCAAAGGTATTTAATTCCTTGTAGTGTTGTAGTTTAATTGGTATTTTTTTTCCTTCTTAGTAGTACATAAAATAATAGGAAATGGGCAGATAAATGGCCTGTGGGAGGAAAGAAAAAGACCAGTGTTTTTGTTTTTGTTCTTCCAAAATGGATTTGAGGAGTTCAAAGTATAAAAATTCTCCTCAACTAGCTAAGCAAATAGTTGACCATAACCAAGCATCTATCACACTGGCTTGGGTTGGCTGAGGGGAAAGCCCTCAGGTTTGGTGTCAGGCTCACCGTGGTTTTGAAACCTGGCTCATCATTTAGCAACTGTGTGACCTTGGGCATGTCCCTTAACACTTAAATAAAATGGAGATAATCACATGGACCCACTAGCTTATTGTGAATTTTGGCTAAGTTAATGCATATAAATTCCTGACAGGTGGTAGGATAGCTAATATGTTAGTTCCCAAGTATTTCTAAAATTTCTTTTATCCCACTTCTTTTCCAAAAAGGCTTGAGGTGGTTTATAACCAAAATAAGCTAATAAAAATACAAGTATAAAGGTGAACTAGGATCAAGGAGAAAGAATACATGCTATCACTAAGCGTTGACAAAGTTGCTATAATTGAGAACAAAATCTGGCTTATCAGCAGCAGGGCAAAATGTAGTTCTCCATTTCAGAAATGTGGAAACAGTATGTTTTTGGTGAAGGGTGGGGAACAAACTTTCTCCTGGCCCTAAATTTTAAAGTAGTTTCTTTTGTCAACTTTTATTCTTATGTCTGTATAGTGCCTTGATATTTACGAAGTGGTTTCACAACTACTATCTCATCAGATGCTGTATTAATTCCATTTTATCTCCATTTTATGGATTCATTCATCCAAAGTCCTTACTATGCTTACCATGTAAGTAAGTGCTCACTATGTGTCAGACACATAAAAAGGAAAGGCCAACTAATTGGTAAGTTTATTAGTTCTATTAGTTAGTCAACTGATTGGCTAACCAATTACTAACTGCAAATTCACTAATGAATAACCTGCAAACTTACTAATTAATCAACCCCAAGGGGAGCAGGGGCTGCAGGATAAACCTGAGAATCCCAGTCAGTGCAGTAACGTGGCTTATCCAGAGGGGAGGGGAGGCTTGTTGAGGATGACTACTTCAGCTGGCTCCACAGTGTGGTGAAAAGCAAATTACAATTAAAAAATTTTTAAAAAAAGAAAAGAAAAGAAAAGCTTTTGGAGTATTTAGTAAATACCAATGTCAAGACCCACCCCAGACCCACTGAGTCAGAATCTTTGAGGATAGGATCAAAGCTGAAAATCACTTCTGTAGGTCAATCATGGAAATCCTGTTCCCTGCTTTCCTAGTCTCTCTTGTAGCTAGCAGTGGGCACATGATCCAATGTTGGCCAATGAGGCCTGGGCAGAAGACTGGCAAGAGGAAGGTTGGGAAGGAATTTTTTGCTTTCTGGATGAAGGGGAAAACATAATCTTTTCTCCTGTAGATGAGATCCTTGGCATTCTCACTCTCTAGAGACCCTGATGCAAGGATGAAGGCCAATACGCTAAGGATATCAGAACAAAAAGAAAGAGCCTGGGTTCCTGATGGCATCACTGAGCCAGTAGACCAGTGTCAAACTGCTTCTTATAATGTGAGAAAAATAAACCCTATTTCTTTGCATCGTTGTTAGTTTGGGTCTCTGTTACTTACAGCCAAATACACTCCAGAGACATGTGTAAAGGTCCCAGCTCAGTGTTGAGTGAGTCCTTAGGCACTCCATAATGACAGATACATATCTGAACGTGTGTCCTTGTGCATTTGCACATACCTTCCCATTCAACTCCAGGACACAAAATTCCTCCACATCCCCTTCCCAGCCATGTTATTTAGTGCGTGCTATGATCTAAGGCCTGGGGGTCCTTAGTAAGTCCCCAAAAGGGAAAAGATGGGTGAGGAAGCAGGGAATTCACTTGTCCCCTATGACTTTATTGTTACCGAGTAGCCCCAAATCTTGGTTCTAGATTTTCCAGCCCACATCCCATTGGGTTTATCGAGCTAAGGCAACTGGAGTAGTGGAAGCAGGAGCTTGAGCTCCTTCTGGAAATTGGAGGATGGAGCAAGGGGAATGGGTAGTAGGTGGCAGCTGCTTTAGGGGCTTTCCCTCCTACCACAGGTGCAGTTCTGCTCACCTGATCTCTCACCCTGGCCTCCCGGGCCTTCTCCCACAAAGAGAATTAGGGAGCTTCCAGTGAGAAGAAACTGAGGACTGTGCTGCTCTGATCCCTGCTGGTCTGAGCCCCCTCAGGACTGAGGACAGAGGTAGTGATTTACCAATAGCACAGGCGAGTCCCTCTTATAACTCTCAGTTGAGGCACTACAGAGATAAGGAATGAATGATCAAATTTGCGTTTTGTATAGTCAGGGCTAGCAATCTAGGCCTTCTGTTCCAGAGCCCTTATCCATTGGTGGATTCTCTGCAGATCAGACTTTCTCCATTACACTACATGCTCCTGCACTGCTACTTCTTTCCATTTCCTCCAGTAAGACTTCTCTGAAATACACACTTATTTTACTACCTGTCTGAGGAAGTTATATCTGCTAGGGTCATATTGGGTAAAAAATATTCCTAAGTCAGAGCATCTATTGCA